AAGGAACATTCCTGTGAAGTTTGGATGAAATTGGCTTAGTGGTTTATGAGGAGATGTCATTTAAAGTAAAAGTTTACGGACGGACGCCGGACGGACGCCGGACGAAAAGCGATCACAAAAGCTCACCCTGTCACTTTGTGACAGGTGAGCTAATAAAAAGTACAGAACATGTTATATTACTTAAACTTGAGCAGACGGAAATCTATACAATGAAAACTGCATGCTGCTGTAAACCTTCAGTTTACTCAACTGTTTGAATGGCGGCATGGCCTAGTGGTTAACATGTCTGACTAGTAATCTATTTTAGGATTGCTGGCCGCACGGGTTCAAGCCCGTCAGGGACAAGCCATTGTTTCTGTGAGCAAGAAACATAAGTCATTGCTTAGTACTCAGGTTGGTTCCAGGAATGGAATAAACTTACAGTTTTCAACACATTTGAACTAAAATTAATTAAATAAATTAATATAAACTAATTGTTAATATGAACAATATCTGCTTTGAATTTACAACCGTTTATTATCAAATGATTGAAATTCAAAAATTATACAGTTGTGTGAACAGCTTCTAAGAGTCTTGACAGACTGCACAGAATGTTCAGATTGGGCCGCTTTGCATGTGTAAGCTATGACATCAGAATTACAACTGTAACTTACATACATTACAAATAGTGAGAAAAAAAAATTAATAAGTAACATTCCATTTAAAAAGGAAGAAAAACAAATTAAATACATGCATTCTTTGCAAAAAGGTCGCCAAATTGGTTACGCCATATCAGCAAACAAACTTAAGAATAAAACAAGGATCTGAACATCTGATGTATCCGGAAGTCTGAATTCCGGATATGCAGATGGCCATTTCCTCTCCAAATGACATCCCTAATTTTTAGCAATTATCAAAAAACAGAATTTGTTAATAATTTCAAAATTTAATTGAAATTTCAATTTACATACGTACATGTACACTATTTATAGAAGTATCAAATAGATATAATTTCTGACTGGCTTCTGCATGGGTCCCCTATTAGCTCTTTAATCATTTTATTTGATTTAACCAGTTTTACCAAATGCTCCCATGGAGCTTTTTACAACAAAGTATATGACACATGATTTTAAGAATTTTGTTATGATTACACATGATTTTAAGAATTTTGTTATGATTACACATGATTTTAAGAATTTTGTTATGATTACACATGATTTTAAGAATTTTGTTAATTTTGTTATGATTACACATGATTTTAAGAATTTTGTTATGATTACACATGATTTTAAGAATTTTGTTTTACACATGATTTTAAGAATTTTGTTATGATTACACATGATTTTAAGAATTTTGTTATGATTACACATGATTTTAAGAATTTTGTTATGATTACACATGATTTTAAGAATTTTTTTAACCAGTATATAAATTATTTGTTTCTCAACACAGACACTTGTAAAAAATGTAATCATAAAATATTTGACCCTTAATTTTAAATACTAGTGTGACAACAGTAATTCAAATATGAATAAATAAGTATTATTTATAACATTAACATCAAATATTTTAAAATCACTAACTTTACAAGTTCACGAGCTAAATCCCACACTCATGCAATCACTCCATAATTACATAAAGTTTGGAAGATTGAAATAACATATCATATAAAGTATCGAAACTTACATTATCTGGAACCTCAGGTGATTTGAGCGGCTTGTTTGCCCTCTAACACAAACTGAGTGATCCGGCCGGGTCCCTTCATGAGGGGTGAAAATTACCCTTGGGTACTCTTGTTCCTCCATTGTACCCATCATTAATGCTTAATTGTCCAATGTCAATGTAACATATAGTTTAAATGATCACCTAGATTTCATACTGTTTCTGTAAAAAATGCAGTCTTATATATTGAAGTAAAAAAAATTCTTTTTTAAAATTTCAAGAATAGATACATTCCTATTATATTTGTTTTAATTTTTTGTAATGTTCTTTTTAATTGTATCCAAAAAAATTAAAAAACTGAATTGAATATATAGAACTTTTTTTTTTACAAGAAATGAATTTTTCAAGAAATTTTGATAAAACCGTCTACAAAAATAATCCTAATTTATAAACAAGTATGTTTGAGTGCATAAAAATATAGATTATAAATGGTTTTTTTTTAAAAAAACAATCAAATACATTTTATTATTTTTAAAATCTAAAATCTGCTTTTTTTTTTTTTTTAAAAAAAAACAAAACCTAAATTTTTAATACTCCATATAATTATATAAAACAAAATTTAAAAACCAAAATTTAGACTGCAATTTTTTTCTTTCAAATTTTTTAGTTTTTTTTGGGAAACCCCACTATTGGGTTTTAAAACAAAATGACTTGTTTGGCCCTATTGCACATTTTTTCTTTATTGCCACATTTTTAATTTTTTACGGGGGGGGAAATTTTTTTTTTTTTTGGTCAGAAAAAATTTTTTTTAACGAAATTTAAATATCAGCATTATAGGAAAAAAAAACTATTTTCCCAAACTCCTTTCATTTAAAATTGGGAAAAGACGTAAAAAAAAAGTAAATTTGGAATTCAAAAATTTTTTCCTTAAACGCACCATTTAAATCCCCCTTTGTTTCGCCTCTACCCCAAACCCTGCTTTTTTTTTTATAATTGCTTTATTTTTACTGCTATACAGTTTCTTTATATAGAAACAAAATCTTTAGAAGTTTCTTATTTTTTTATGATTTAGGTAAATAAATAAATTTTCCAAGTTAGATCACAGAACTTTTTTGATTGCCTAACACATAATAAATTTTCCAACTTGTAGAGAGAAAAAAATAAAACTAAACTGCAAAGCTGTAAAATAGAACACAATTTAACAGACAATTAAATAGACCCAATTAACTAAACTCAAAGACTTAAAAATGTGCATAATTGGTAACTATGGGCTTGAATAGTACTTAGTCCTATCATGAGGTACAAGGTATTCAAATCTAATTCAATAATCTTTCAATTCAATGTATCCAAATTACCGATAAAATAATAACGCCCGTTGTTCAATTTAATGTATATAGATACCAGATAATGGTTTATAAAATCGGCAATAATGTAAAGTAGGTAAATCCTCGGGATTTTAAAAAACGTATACTTGACTCCGCGATCTGTTTCAAAATCAAGTAATAGACAGATGTGTCGTGATTAATAGATAAGCAAAGTTAAAAGGATTTTCGTATATATATTAAAGTCTTGTTCAATGTAATTTAAGATACTTTGATAAAAAAAAAAATAAGAAGAAATTTTAATTTATTTGAACAACTTTTGATAAACCACTTTTAAGATTGCATGATTGTTTAAACACCTGTATCAGGTACTTGTTAAATAACTTCAAATCTCTGCCTGCTTTAACAAAAAAAAACAACTGATGTTTGAATAAAATTTAACTTAACCCTTGGCCTGCTATATTTCTATAATTTGAATTTGAAACAGTCCACTTTTGGTTCCAGCAGGTAAAGGGTTAATCTTATTTAAATGATTTTTTTTGCAGTTCAACTTTTTCCCCTTTTTTTCCATTTAAACATGGTAAGTCACATTCATGATTACAATATTAAACCACCACTAGAAAATGTAAAATAGTGTTATTATAGGACAATTTTTCAGATGGGGGTAGTAATTAATTTCTCAGCATTTTCTTATCAGCTTTCAAACTTAGCAGGTAATATTTTAAGATTATTTCATTCTTTGCTCATTGGGAACACAAAGTATATACACCAAAAATATAACTTTTCTTTTTTCATTTAAAATCATTGAAAATCATTGAAATCCACCTTTTGAAAATTTTAAAAACAAAAAAAAACTTAATGGGAAAACCCTTTTTCTTCAAAAAAGACCGGGGGTCAAATAAAATTTAAAATTTTTACCCTCCAGTCAGCTCGATTTTCTAAGGAAAGCGTCGGGCAGGTTTTAATTTCCCATGATTCCCGGTTCGGGTTCCTGTAAATTTTTCAGGTCACTTTTATTGAAAATTTATTTTGAAAACCTTTCTTTAAAAGTCATTTTCAAAGAACCTCCCCTCTGGATTGCAAAAAAAAATCAGTCCCCTTTGAAAAAATTTAAAAGGGAAAATAATACTTTGGGAAAATTTCTTGAAAGGGCCCGCCCAGGGAAATTTTTCAGGTGGCCCGAAATTTTATCTGACAAAAATTTAATTGGTTAAAAAATGCCCTTTTATTCCCCAAATTTAAAAAAATACCAACAGCATCACACAACCAAAAATTTGACATTATCCTTTTATAAAATTATTGGACCTATTAAGAAATCACATTTTGTGTCCAAAAAATCAACTTATGTGTCCAGAAAAATCAACAATACAGTCAAAACACATTGTGGTTCACCATGCATTACCAGTTTTATTAAAATATTGATAGAAAAAGGAATGTGCAAAATTTCATTATGTCCATGAGACTTAGTTAAAAATTCAATGTGTTGGTCTTGCCTGAAAGAAATTTTTATTTTTTTACATTGCACAAACACTAAAGGTCATTTATTGCAACTTTTCAGCTTTATTGGTTGAGGGAGATCTCAGGTGCCCCTAAATGCCATTATTTCAGGCACATTAATGGGTATTTTGAGTAGAAGAACCAATTTTCCATAAAGCTAGCCTGTGATTTTTAGAACAGTTCACCTTTAGTTTAAAGAAATTCCAGTACAAAAAATACAAAAGATGTGCCACCCAACAGAATTATAAAAAGCCTGGTCAGACTGCAATTTGGACTGTAGGCCGGGCGAGGCTCAGCCTCATTCTCATACAAGTGACATAGGCCAGGATAATTCCAACTATAACTTAAAATGTTTGTGTGTTCTAAAAGCATAATATGGGTCCATCCACAATTTCAGGAACTGAGAGTTCAAACCCCAGACATGTCACCATTCAAGTCCTGAAATAGTTATTTAAAATTTCCAAAATGGTGACCTATTAATTTGAATTAAGTAAAAATTCACTGAATGTGATTAAATATATGTTATTAGTTTAATCTTACCCTTATCAAAGTAAGATGTTTATATGCTCTCTCCTCACGTTCCTTTTTAGAAATAACTGTTTCTGGCATCAAAGTCTTGACCTTTCCATTTTCTAATTCATCCAAATTCATAACTTTATTACAGTGCTTTAGTTCACAATAGCTTGTCATTTTGAATATCAATATATATTACTTTATTTCTGCTATGCATTATATAAGTATTGACCATTTTTTGTCCACAATATTTTACAAGAAATCCTGTAATATTCTTCTTATAACAGCATATGGCACCAATATCTTTCTTCATTTCTTGATCATTATTATATTTTGATATTCAACAATGATAGCTCTTTTAATAAGCCATCACTAATGAATTATTGATAATCAGTTATATATCGGTGATAACTAATTAATTATCTATGATAATTGATAACAACAACACATCACCATACAAATTATTATTCCTGTTGCATAAATTCAGAGTCGAATCGTCCTAATAATTGAATAAATTTAGAGTTGAATCAACCAAATCACATATCCCCTCCCTCTTTATTAAACAGTAATAACGAAACAACACACAAACACTTATCAAATCCTTATGAACAAAATAATTATATGTCCTTAATTAAGCATTTTTATCATAACTGTCATCTGAATATATATCATTGTATAGATTTACTACTAAATAAAGAACAATAATTCTCTACACAACACTTTCTTTTGATTCACAAAAAATTAAGATTAAAATCCAAAAATCCACTGCACTTTTACAATACTAATACCAAGCTTGATAGTACTGTGTATCTTTTATTATCCCAGTGTAATAAATACTTATTTAATAATATCAATACAAACATGGTATTGAAAATTGTAATATTTCTGCTATTAAACCACTTTCAAACTGTTACATTTAGATTAATAACGTTATACTGTCCGTCAATATCCCATTTTTCAACAAAAGAACTGTACATTTTGAAAATTAACCACTATAGAAGTCTATCTTTACATTATCAATTATTTTCTTTTCAAAGTGGGAGAGTCTCAATGAAACGTGGAGTAAATCTTTAACAATAACAAATTATGTATCATACACAGAACAAAATGTTTGTAAATTATATGTTGAAATTGTTAAATAACTGGTGATAGACTGTCATATTATGATGTTTGATGAACCAAAGAGAGATAACAAGATATGACAGAACTGTGTTACATGAATCATGGAACAAACAGAGATAACAAGATATGACAGAATTGTATAACATGAATCATTAAACAAACAGAGATAACAAGATATATCAGAACTGTGCAACATGAATCATGGAACAAACAGAGATAAAAAGAAATAATAGAATAGTGTAACATGAAACATGAATCAAAGATAAACAACAAGATATAACAGAATTGTGTAACATGAATCATGAAGCAAAGAGAAATAACAAAATATATCAGAACTGTGTAAAATGAATCATGAAACAAAGAGAGATAACAAGATATAACAGAATTGTGTAACATGAATCATGGAACATAGAGATAACAAGATATAACAGAATTTGCAACATGAATCATAAACCAAAGAGAGATAATAAACAGGATATAATAAGAATTATGTAACTGTTATATGAATCATGAAACAAAGACAGATAACAAAATATAACAGAATTGTGTAACATGAATTATGGAACATAGAGATAACAAGATATAACAGAATTTGCAACATGAATCATGAAACAAAGAGAGATAACAAAATATAACAGAATTGTGTAACATGAAACAGGAACCAAAGATAAACAACAAGATATAACAAAATTGTGTAACATGAATCATGAAACAGAGTGAGATAACAAGATATAACAGAATTGTGTAACATGAAACATGAATCAAAGATAAACAACAAGATATAACAGAATTGTGTAACATGAATCATGAAGCAAAGAGAAATAACAAAATATATCAGAACTGTGTAAAATGAATCATGAAACAAAGAGAGATAACAAGATATAACAGAATTGTGTAACATGAATCATGGAACATAGAGATAACAAGATATAACAGAATTTGCAACATGAATCATAAACCAAAGAGAGATAATAAACAGGATATAATAAGAATTATGTAACTGTTATATGAATCATGAAACAAAGACAGATAACAAAATATAACAGAATTGTGTAACATGAATTATGGAACATAGAGATAACAAGATATAACAGAATTTGCAACATGAATCATGAAACAAAGAGAGATAACAAAATATAACAGAATTGTGTAACATGAAACAGGAACCAAAGATAAACAACAAGATATAACAAAATTGTGTAACATGAATCATGAAACAGAGTGAGATAACAAGATATAACAGAATTGTGTAACATGAAACAGGAACCAAAGATAAACAACAAAATATAACAGAATTGTGTAACATGAAGCAAAGAGAAATTACAAGATATATCAGAACTGTGTAAAATGAATCGTGGAACAAACAGGCATAACAAGATAAAACAGAATTATGTAACATGAATTATGGAACAAAGAGAGATAACAAGATAGAACAGAATTTGCAACATGAATCATGAAAAAAGAGAGATAACAAGATATAACAAAATTGTGTAACATGAATTATGAAACAAAGAGAGATAACAAGACATAACAGAATTGTGTAACATGAATCCTGAAGCAAAGTGACATGACAATATATAACAGAATTGTGTAACATGAATTATGAAACAAAGAGAGATAACAAGATATAACATAACTGTGTAACATGAATCATAAAACAAAGAGAGATAACAAGATATAACATAACTGTGTAACATGAATCATAAAACAAAGAGAGATAACAAGATATAACAGAATTGTGTAACATGAATCATGAAACAAAGAGAGATAATAAGATATAACAGAATGGTGTTACATGAATCATGGAACAAACAGAGTTAACAAGATATTACAGAAATGTGTAACACGAATTTTAAAACAAACAGAGAAAACAAGATATAACAACATTTAGTAACAAGAATTATGGAGAGATAACAAGATATAATAGAATTGTGGAACATGAATCACGAAACAAACAGAGATAACAAGATAAACGGAATTATGTAACATGAATTATGGAACAAAAAGAGATAACAATATATAACAGAATAGTGTAACATGAATCATGAAACAAAGTGACATAATAAGATATAACAGAACTGTGTATCATGAATCATAAACCAAAGATAAACAACAAGATATAACAGAATTGTGTAACATAAATCATGAACCAAAGAGAGATAAAATGATACAATAGAATTGTGTAACAAGAATCATGGATCAAAGAGAGATAACAAGATATAACATAATTGTAATAACATGAATCATGAAACAAAGAGAGATAACAAAATATAACAGAATAGTGAACATGAATCATGAAACAAAGTAACATAACAAGATATAACAGAACTGTGTAACATGAATCATGAAGCAAAGAGACATAACAAGATATAACAGAATTGTGTAACATGCGACCGGGGGCTGCCTTAGGGGCTGGCTGCTGCTACACTGTGCTGGGGTTGCGGCGGCCCTTACTGCAAGTCACAACTTCTCCACTAATAACAGCAACACTGTACTAGACCTCCGGTAGAGCTATGCGGTACCGGTTGTTTAAGCTGTGGGGAATTAGCTGAGGTCTAAGCTGAGTCCCGATACACAATATGAAGTGTCCACCCCAAGCAGTTGGTCACGTAGTTTACTCTACTATCAGTATGTAGAGTGTGATAGCAGATAACTTTGATGAAATGAAGATGAACACAAATGTTCCTTATTACTTATTCAATTTATTGATTTTATTTATGTCACAGTTTAATAATATTATATTCCATACAAAGTTTCTAAAAGTTCACTTTTATTAAAATATATTAAGTCCACAATGTTTCTTATCAAAATGTTTCCAAGATACTTTTAACACACTTTTACATTAATTCTGATTCTGATCGTAACAATTCTTAAAATTTCCAATTCTGTCTGAATAACCCTAAAAATTCTAATTCTTTCTAGTCATTCTTTATTCTTAAAAAGTTCTAATTCTCAAATCTTAATTCTGTCTAAACTTAATATTTGTCTCCCTATATAGATTATTCTCAGATATTATTAATTTAAATAATTAATTGATTACCCAATGAAAAGTGAAAAATATTGACCAATGAAAAATAATACAAGAGGGCCATGATGGCCCTGAGGTCGCTCACCTGTATATAGGCCCCCCACCCCTGGGCCAATTTTTACCCAAGGGCTTTTATTTGTTTATTTGAACAGACTTGGTAGACACCCATAAGAAGATGTTTCATGCTAAACATCTAAGTTCTAGCTCATTGGCTTTTTTAAAAGAAGATTTTTAAAGTTTTTACTATACACATATAGTTAAAAACAATGTCACCCCTGGGGCAGGGCCAGTTTTGACCCCCCGGCGTTTATTTTAACAAACTTTGTAGATATTTACTTAAAGATGTTTCATGCTTAATATCTAAACTCTAGCTATTTGGGTTTTTCCAAAGAAGATTTTTAAGTTTTTGCTATACACATATAAGGAAAATCAATGACCCCCCCCCCCCCCCCCCTGGTGGGGCCAGTTTTGACCTCAGGGCTTTTATTTGAACATACTTGGTAGACACCCATTAGAACATGTTTCATGCTAAATATCTTAGCTCTAGCTCTTTGAGTTCTTTAAAAGAAGATTTTTTAAAGTTTTTACTATATGCATATAGGGAAAATCAATGACCCCCTGGGGCGGGGCCAATTTTGACCCCAGAGCTTTTATTTGAACAGACTTGGTAGACACTCATTAGAAGATGTTTCATGCCAAATATCTAAGCTCTAGCTCTTATGGTTCTTTAAAAGAAGATTTTTTAGTTTTTACCATATGCATATAGCGAAAATCAATGACCCCCGTGGCGGGGCCAATTTTGACCCCAGGGCTTTAATTTGAACAAACTTGGTAGACACTCACTAGAAGATGTTTCATGCTTAATATCTTAGCTCTAGCTCTTTGGGTTCTTTAAAAGAAAATTTTTTAAGTTTTTACTATATGCATATAGGGAAAATCTATGACCCCCTGGGGCGGGGTCAATTTTGACCCCAGGGCTTTTATTTGAACAAACTTGGTAGACATTCACTAGAAGATGTTTCATGCC